TCACTGACTTATAATATGACTGAGTTAGTATACTATGATTATAAAGGTGCTAGGTGTAGAGGTGTTGTCAAACTCCGAACACCTGTGGCATCTTTATATATATTTCGTTTATCATAGGCTTGTAACAACTTAGGTTTATTAGTTAAGAGTTGATCTCAAGCAACTAATTATGTCAAAACAATAGAGCTCAAGCATTCATTCACTTCCTTATTTCGTATAGGCATTATATTTCCTATTATCTTATATTAATGTTGGAAAGTGTTATGTGTATGGACAGGCAACCTGCCGCTCCACTGTGACTGTACCACGATCTAAATAAACACCTATTCACTACTAGGTTGGCTTCTTTTATCAATAGGACAAGGGTTAATTTCAGGCACGAAAGGCTTTCTATTGCTTCATTACCAACGTTATACGATCTAATGTTCTTAGTTTATTACCAATCTATTATTTACGGTCTTCTCTCCATTCAGCCACTTTTTGGCTTGATCACATAGAACTGTTATTTTTACTTTATAGTGTGATGCAGTATGGTATGTTTATATCTAATCTGCTTGAATTATAATAAAAACCATGGATAAGTGACCATAGGTTTTACTTTCCTTCTTTTCGTTTGCATTCGGACGGTGTTGGGTCAACCCTCAAGCCTGGAGTAGTAGTCTTATTGTCCTTGTGGTGTATCGCTTATTTAACTTGGTCTATACGTATCAGTAGGAGCTAGGTCATGACAGTTTACTTCATCTTTTATCACACCGATTTTTTAAATAGGCGTTCATCAAGGAATCATTAGTTATTTCGTGACGGACTCTTTCGACTACCCACTTTTGCGCTTGCCTTTAGTCTGAAATAGTGTTCCTCCTCTTCTGCCATGTTGTTGGTGGCGGAAATGATAACATGAAATTAAGTTGTGGTCAGGAAGAGATAAAAGTACTTGTAGAACTTGCGTTGTCACACTAGTAGACATTCATAGCGTTCTTCACAAAGCAGTGTTATTGGTTTAATGTGTCCTCCTAATATTGAGTGATAAGTACAGTATACGTTTTGTATAAATTCACAAATTCCACAGCCAATGAGTGATTATTTACCTAATCTCGTCATTTTAGGACGTATTTTTAATAAACACAATACGTTTCTTACATTCTGGTGCACTTCACAGGGTTTTGTAAAATAAATCTCAATGAATAAATATGAAAACCTGACTCCCATACTAAAAGCACATGGCTGCCTCATTTTATAAGTATGTTTTTCACAGTTTTACGGGCACAGAGTCTTTTAAATTTTCTAAGACCCTACTGCAGTATTGACCGTCAGTACTATCATTCAACAGTCCCAGTATTTTCGTTCACCATGCTTCGCATTTGATCAGCATGGTGCAGTACCATTTTTAGGAACGACATCCATACAGATCATCAGAGCTAACATCACACCATTAATTCATGAAAGTAGTCGTTGACTTCGTACCGCAACTCACCAGACGTAATTGAAACCTCGTCACACAACCAAGACGATAACAATGAACATGAAATTATTTCAGAGTACTTGAAAACAGCGTGTCTCCATGATCCATACCGGTTGATCATGCATTCAATTCTGTAAGACCCATTGATAATGCTGTTTCCTAATCTATCCCGGAAGAAAGCTCTAGTTTTTAATGCTAAGCATCAAGACAATTTTACGAAAATGTCACTGTTTATTAGCACAGTAGACCAATAGTTTGTTTTATAGACGTAAATTCACATACGTGGCACATATGTAAACTACTTCTCGACCTGTTCATTCTTCCCTCCATATTTTGATAATCGTGCATAAAGATGATATCCGAAACATCGGGTCATAAACCGGACTTTAACAACTTAACATTTGGCCGCTGCGATAGCAAAAGGACTGGCATGTGGAATATCTTATGTGGCTGATATGCCACTTTTCCACCAACAGATTCGGGTTTGATTTTCGATTCAGACTTGTGTATTGAGATATGAAGACCTAAGTCATGTATTCGTTCTTCTCTCGTAAGCTTCTGTGAATGTCTGGTCTTTAATCGTAGAGGGGATCAACACTTCACCGGGTAACAAGTTTCAAGTATTGATGACCCATTGTGAAAGTCTGTATGCCACGTATATCGTTTTGTAATTGACCTTTCTGTCCCTGTGCTATGTTCTCTCAGTTATTTTGATCTGGTAAGAAGAAAACGAGGGGACATATGAGGCTCGTAATCACTCCTTGCTATTCTATATATCAAAATCAGATGACCTAATCTGCAGTAGGGCAGGGAAAAAAGATCTAGCTTCTCAGGCCGCTCTGTGTAAGGTTAACACCGGAATTACACAGATAACGACCCTCTGTATCTTTTTCATGGTATTTGAGTCACTTTGAACAGAAGCTTGCAGCCTGGACGGGGCTTCCAGGTTTTTATCTCACTACAGATGCGTATTGTCATCATCCAGGCATCCCATGCAGCTATATCGAATGTTACTTTGTTTGTTAGAAGGAGCTTGGGTCTCATGACCTCCGAAGAATCTCGACTTTGACCGTGTGGCATTGTAATTCTTCTGAATGAAAATTCTTCAACCCAGAGGGCAGATTTTAAATATTTCAGATAGTTTATTCTGCTGAGTGTTTGTTCACCAATCCAGTTTTTTAGGAGATATAGTTATCGACACCATGTCCAATCCTTCCCCTTCACTTTCGATTGAGACCAGCAGCAACCCTGGATGAGCGACCGGCAGAGAAGCTCCGGAAGCTGCGGAAACCTTCACATACCTGGTCAGTATCATCGATGAACAAGGAGGATCCAATGCTGACGTAAAGACAAGTATAAGTAGATTATTTTCACGGTTGAAGAACAAATGGAACTCAAAACAACTGTCAACTAACATCAATGTCAGAATCACCAATACAAACATCAGAACAGTCCTATGGTACGAAGCTGAAACTTTGAGAACTACTACAACGATCACCAAGAAAGAACAAGTATTTGTATGCAGCTGTCTACACAAGATACACAATATCCGCTGACCGAAACCATCACCAACAACCTACTGTGGGAGAAAATAAACCAGCTTCCAACTGAATAGGAAATTGCCAAACGACTTTAGAAATGGGAAGAACATATATTGAGGAAGTCATCAAACTGCATTATAAAACAGGCGCTAACTTGGAATCCAGAAGGAAAACGGAAAAGATGACCAAGGAACCCACTGCGTCGAGAATCGGGAGTAGACGTCGAAAGGTTGAATAGTAAGTGGAAACAATCGTGAAGGAGCGTTCTGGACAAAGCTTGGTAAAGAATACTGCTCGGAGACCTATGTTCCTCCTCAAGGGTTAACAGGCACGAGCAAGTGAGGGTTATGTATACTGGATCAGCTAACCAGAACAAATAAGTACGCGTGACATGTAAATGCACCTAGGACCTATCCTTATCGCTCACCAAATTTTTTCACCATCAATGTAATATGGTATTAAGGACTGAACTTTGCTTGGGAACTTATCTGCGTACAGTAAAGAACCTAGAACAGAGCTTTATGGTACTTCACATATTACTACTATCCACTAGGAGCAACTGGAATTTACTCTTACTTTCTGACCATGACCTAAAACGACATAATTAATTTACTGAAGTAGAGGTCCGTCAATTGCCAGATTTTCCAGTCTCAAGAGAAGTCTATTATCCGGCATCTTATCAAATATTTTCCAGGGTCTACACAGTCAGCACTCACTGATTTTCCACCCTGTCAATTTTTTTATATATGGCGGTTTATTGTACAAGACAATCTTTTTCTGAAACCATAACGTTTACTGTTTAGCAAGTTATTTGTTTCCAAGAATATCATTCATGACTTTTTGATTATTCTGTCCAGTATTTTAACCAAGATACTGGTGAGGCTGATGAGTTTGTAATTTGATGGAAGCTGTCTTAATCCTGTCTTATGAATTTCACCCTTCCAGTTCATAAGTAACTCAACTTGATCGAGTGACACTGAATATCGTATTCAGCAATATAGCAAACAATTTGTCTCAAGATTTTGGACTGTAAATCATCCATTGATTCTCCCGTGTCTAAAGTGTGAGGGCTTTTAGTACGTTGTTTTGGTGAAAGTTCTCAGTGAGCATCCGATATCGTGACTTTGTATTTGAGTCCAAACTTTCATCTAGAAGAAGCTTCTGAATGAAAACTATCCTCTCCTTTGTCCTGTTCTCCCTCTGTCATTTGAGATGTACTCGGTTTTGCAATAAGGTTTTAATTTTATCGTGTGTTCTTTTTCTGTAATTTGTGTATCAGAACAGTTTTCTCGGCTATTTGACCACAGGTTTTGCAAAATGCTTATCATATAGTCGCTGAACTGCTCGGATTTTGTTTAGACACCTATTTCGGACGGACCTGTAGCGCTTCATAGTATTTAGTCTGCTGTGTCCACCACGTTAATTCATGTCAACAAGTGTTTACGGATGTGAAGATAGCAACTACAGGCAGTATTTTCAGGGAAGTACACAACAAATCTCATGCTATATTAGGAACGTGCTAAACGTTTATGACAAATTATTGGTCAGCTCAAAAGCGACGACTGTTACCTGATGACGAATGTATACAAAATTTTTAGAATGATCGAATCGTAATCAACACATTTTCTATACTTTTGAAAGGGTTAAATTTTGTTTCACTTTCTAAATTGCATTGCGACCTTGAGTGCACTAATTAAAAAAGGTAAACTGTACGACATTTGAAACTATTATCTTCCACTTTTTCACTTCGTCTCCTGGTTTGCTTGTATAGCACATTTGCACATTACTAGCTACTGATTCTTGTATCTATTGATTAATTTGGTTTCATGTAGTGAGTTTACTGAGTAGTTGCTAATGGTTTCATCATGTTATTTTGATCCCTTAGACTCTTGCTAATACACTTAAATCCTTAAGAAACATATCCTCAGACAAAAAATAAATATACCAGCAACTAAAGTTGCGAAACACCTTAGAATCACGCAAATTTGTGACTCATTTTGATGATACCAACTGTAAAGGAACGCCAAGCTGGAGCTTATGATTTCAGAAAATATTATGAAAATCTGTGTGCGCTGCGAAATTGCTCCCCGCTCTCTGCAATCACAAGCCATGTTGATAATGGAGTTCTTGACATAAGTGCAGATAGATTAAAGTGAGATAAAGTTTGTCTATTCACAACTACTTAAAGGACTCAAGAGTGGGATCCAGTTTTTGATGCTATTAAAATCAATAAAAGCCTGCATTTCATTGCAATCAGAAGTTTCTATCAGTATAATAGCGTTTCAGGTGAGCATTCATTTTTGAGTTATCTGTTCGATCTATTGTTTTTCTATTTTCTGCTTGTTAGTTCTATATTTATTTTTAATTAAAGGGTGTTAAAATAGCTTTTTTGCGTTTTACATACTTTTATTTTGTTTACCCATCGATGTGTAGTTAAATTCAATCGTTTAAGGGTAATCACTACTTTACTGCACAGCTCGATGCTGACTTGCCTAGTTTCACTAACTAGATTTCGTAAATATCTACTAGAGTGATCCGGCCCTGTTACTTCTAGTAAAAGCTGTACATTCTGAAATAACTGTTGGAAGGTTGTAGGCGTATTGTTCATACTACTTCATAGTCATCTGTAAAGGAAATCCTTTACGTACGTCTTCACTTCCTAACAATTTCATGTTGCCCAAAAGATTGATGACAATATTCCTGATGACTACCAGGAAGTTTGAGCTTGGTATTGATTACTTCAACCATCTTAAATTCAAAGCAACCCCCTTAAGGTATTAAAATGCTAAATATTAACCTTAATGAAACATTTCAATCTTACGTGAAAGGCAATTAACTTCTAAATTAATCTCATTTGCTTTTATAGTTTTTAAATAAAATCTCTTGTACAGGACACTGTCATGCTAACTACAAGTCTGAGAAATGATTGACTTCGAACCAAATTTCAGAACATTAATATTAGAAGTCACGCAGTTGTGGTATTTGTACGAACTAATTATTCCTTTGTACTTGATTGTCCATGGATTACAAAGTCCATGCATAATATGTTTATTTGTGTTCATCTATTCCTACATAACTCCGCCTCTAGCGCTTCTGGAGTTACTGCCAGCCTCAGGCTCAGGTAGAGGAGGAGGGCTGGGCATGTGGTCGGCAACCCCATACGGTAAAATAACTTTTGCTAAAAGACGCCAACCTGAATAAATAAATTAAACCACCAAAGCTCTGCCCTGGCAGTTGGAGGAAGAATTATGACGCCCCATGGAAGTCACGAGGTCGATACACCTTCTAACAACCGAAGCAACAATTAACACAGGTACATGGGATGTCCGGACAATGTAAAAGACCAGGAGAATCAGTCAAATAACTACGGAAATTAGGGGATACAATTTGATAGTACTCGGAATCATCGAAACCCATTAGAATTAATCTGGACAGAAAAAATAGCTTCGGGAGAGATGCTGCAGTACTTTGGTCACATGGAGGAAAGTGCTCCACACACTTAGGGATTTACTCTGATGCTGTCCAAAGAAGTACAAAATGTACTTGTTGGGTGGGAATCTCATAGATCTAAGATCATGAAAGCATCTTTCAAAACAAAGAAGGAGGGAATCACAATCAATGTTATTCGGTGTTATGCACCCACCAATGATAGCAACGAAGACGATAAAGATCAGTTCTGCTCTAAGCTGAAATCAGTCATAGCGAAGTGCCCAAGAAAGAATCTCACCATCATGATGGAAGACCTGAACGCTAAGGTCGGAATGGACAACACCGTGTATGAAGATATCATTGGACGACATGGACTGGGAGAGCGAAACGAAAACGGGGAGAGATTCGCAAACCTATATACCTTCAACAAATTGGTTATAGGCGGCAAAATATTCCCACACAAACGCATACACAAAGCTACATTGGTCTCACCGGATCACATCACGAAGAACCAGATCGATCATATTTGCACCAGTAAAAAAATTCAAAAGGAAAATGAAAGACATGAGAACCAGGAGAGGAGCTGACATAGCTTCAAATCATCATCTACCTGGTGGTCGCCAAAAGGAAACTGAAACTAAAGAGACATTGGACAGCCTGAGAAACGGCATTACAAAGGTTCAATAAGTCTTCCTACGAGATACTAACAAACTCAACGAACTCAAAATAACTCTCAACAACAGGTTCCAAGCCTTACACGATCTACTCAAAGAACAGGAAACTACTATGGAGAACAGCTGGAAAACGATCATAGAAGCATTAAACTCAACGTGTCAGGAAGTGCTGAGCCGCAAGAAGCATTATCATAAAGAATGGATCTCTTTCGAAACCGTGGATAAGATTCAAGAAAGCAAGAAGAAGACGGCAATTAACAACAGCCGAATAAGAACAGAGAATGTCAAGGCGTAAGCTGAATACAAAAAAGCAAACAAGCGAGTGAAGAGGAGCATTAGAGCTGACAAACAGAAATACGTTAGAGACCTAGCAATGAGAGTGGAAAAAGCTCTAGCAGAAGGAAATATGAGATAGCTATATGACACAACACAGAAAATAGCAGGGAAATATAGCAAACCAGAGAGAGTGATCAAGGACAAATAAGGCAAGTCAATTACCGAGATTTAAGAACAGAGATACAGATGGGTAAAATACTTCGAAAAACTCTTGAATAGACCAGCTCCATTAAATCCACTGGACAACACACACAGACCTTCCTATAGATGTCACTCCATCAACGATCGAAGAAATCAGGATGGCTATCAGACAAATCAAGAGCAGAAAAGCAGTAGAATCTGACAATACACCAGCTGGAGCGCTGATGTTAGACATAGAAGTAACTGCAAGCATGCTCCACTTTTATTCAGGAAGATTTGGGAAGAAGAACAAGTGCCACCGACAGACTGGAAAGGAGGACACCTCATCAAGGTACCAAAGAAAGGAGATCTAAGCAAATGTGTGAACTACAGAGGCACCACACTACCATCGGTATCAGGAAACGTTCTGAACAGAGTGTTGCTGAACCAGATGAGAGACTCAGTAGACGCCCAACTTCGAGATCAACAGGCTGATTTCTGTAAGGATCGGTTATGCACAGACGATATTGCAACAATACGGATCATTGTTGAGTAATCAGTTGAGTGGAACGCGTCAGTATACATCAACTTCACAGACTATAAGAAAGCATAAGACGGTGTGGATAGAATCTTATGGAAGATTTTTCGGAACTGTGGTGTACCTTAGAAGATCGTCAACACCATCCGAAATTCATACGACTGACTACACTTCAAAGCTGTTCATGGAGTACAGTTGACAGGTGCATTCCAAGTGAGGACCAATGCTAGCTCAACCTCTCTCTCTTTCTTCTGGTGGTTGACTGGATTATGAAGACTTCCACATCTCAGAGGAAGCACGGCATACAGTGGACAGCTTGTGTGCAGCCAGACGATTCTGACTTTGCAAATGGCCTAATTCCTCCACCCCATACATACCAACACAGGTAGATGAAGACAATCAGTGTAGCAACAGCCTCAGCAGCAGTAGGTCTCCATATACATGAGGGAAAACCCGTGATCTTCGAAAACAACATGGAGAACACCAACACAATCATGCTCGATGGAAAAGCTCTGGGAGCGGTGGAAACTTCTACATATCTTCTCAGCATCACCGATAAAGAAGTGGGATCTGATGCAGACGTAAATTGGAGGATTGGCTAAGCAAGAACAGCATTCCTACAGTTGAAGAACATATGGAACTCAAAACAACTGTCAATCAGTATCACAGTCACAATCTTTAATTCAAACGTCAAGACAGTCCTACTGTATGGAGCTGAAACTTCGAGAATTACCACAACCATCATTGAAAATGTACAAGTATTTATAGACAGTTTTCCACTCAAGATACTCATTATCCGTTTGTTGGATATCATCAGCAACAGCCTACTGTGGGAGAGAACTAACTAACTTCTAGCTGAAGAGAAAATTGGAAAAAGACGTTGGAAGTGGATAAAACATGCATTACGGAAATCACCAAACTTCATCATGAGGCAAGCGCTAACTTGGAATACTGAAGGGAAACGGAAAAGTGGTAGACCAAAGAACACGTTACGTCGGAAATTGAAAACAGACATGAAAAAGATGAATAGCAAGTGGAAAAAATTGTCCCGGACAGGGTTGGATGAAGAGTGCTAGTGGGCGGCTTATGCTCCTCCACGAGGGGTAACAAGTGTAAATAAGTAAGTCCTACGTGCCTTAAATATCACTACTCCGGGAATTTTTAGTTGGTATATAACTCAAATACTTCTACTCATCATAGCTCCATCACTCGTATACACATATTCATTCCAGTTAATAACTTTTCATTTCCTAATATTCAGGTCAACATCACCATTTTAGAGAAACTTACATGCTATTAACCACCGAGATAACACACAGGAAACTCTATCGTATAAGTTAACTCCTCAAATATTTACCTCTATTGTTCAAATTGAAAGCAATTTTTATCATCAGGTAGCTCCAGATGAACTATAGCGCTGATAGATCCCTAACAAGAATGAAGTAGTTATTAAGTACTGACTGACTTTCATTGGTTTTCAACTCAGTATGTCACAAGTATTTAGAAACGGATGAATTAGGGCCAGCATTAGAATTTAGGACATGCTTTTCATGTTATTTGAGACTCGTCAGGTGTATATATCTCCATCCCACTGTTGACCTTTAAGGTGGGACTATTCACAAACAGACTGAATGCGCTCCCTTCATTCTATTGATATCCTCAATTCATCTAATTTAAATCAACCTTGGTTGTTTTTATGTAAGCGTATGTGTGTGCATCTCATATCTTACTCATCACATGTCTGCAACTTATTTTTGTCTGACTATAAATATCGATTCACGCTTGGCTATATTGAGTTGTCTCACTCGTATCCTTTCGCTTTGCTTCGGTTTCCGATCGACGATTGTACGAGATATACATATTCAAGAATCCGTCCTCGTGTTTGACTTACTTAATTTCGTTATTCATCAACGCGAGTTAAGTCGATAATTATATACCAAGATTGGTGATATGTTTATTTCGATAGCAGTCATTTCAATAACAATTATTCATATGATCTAATTGTAGTCAGATTTACGACCACTAATGTAAGACAGTGTAAACTACAAGTATATTCTTGTAATTGTCTTTGAAACATCCCTCGAAAAAGTTGGGACTGTTAAGTGAATAATACTGGAATTATGAGTAAGTTATTAGGTAAAAATAGCCTGACTGAATAGAGTAGAAATCTTTGTCACCTAAAGTGGTTTAGACATAAAATTAACTATTCTTTGTCCATCGTCCATATCAGCGTTCAGTGTAAATTGGGCCGGCAGTAGATTAAAAAAAAGATTTTTAAGTGAGTAGATAAAAACCAGGGATCAGTTTATACAAGCTATTAACTGTCAATAGATTGCATCTTGGTAAATCCGGACTTTTTAGTTAGGACCCACTCAATGGTCATAATGTATAGTTAGAAACATCGAGTGATTATCTAAAATCCGTCACTGGGATTCAGCTGCTTTTACTTTCTATCTTCCCTTAAATCTTTACTTTATTGCTTTTCCGTAATTTTCATCCTTTAATTTCATTATTAAACTTTATTACAAAGTTGATATTAACTTCTTTTCCGTACTTTTCATTTTCTTAATTTTACTCTATCTCTTATCGTATTGCTGTGAAGTAATGATACCGTAAACTAACTGCATATTTTTGTAAATGTCAATATCTATGACTGAATGACCATATTATTTCAATCTCTTTCACTGTTCGTATAGGCTGTTTGTATCTTTTCTTTGATGTTATGGATTGTAATATTCCAGTTAACCTACTGGATGATCTAAACAACTAATGCAAATGAATTAAACTTAACTCTGTTGCACAAGCAAGTGATTAATTGAACTCAGTAGCTAAATAGACAACGCGTTAAACATTTGAAGCTAGTACTGGGTCCGAGTCTCGATGTGAACATTGGCACTAAGATGGAGGTACATCCAGCTGACAAGTTCCAAACAGGATGAAATACAGGTCCTATATTCCTCTTCTATCTAACATCAAACTCTTTCTCTATTCATCTTGAAATGCTTATATGTTACGGCAGCTTGTAACAATGCATACTTTACCAGGCTCTAAGTTGATTATGGCTTTTGTCAGACTAACACTAGTTTTATCAAGATACATCTACAGATGTTATTGTTTTCCCATTATCTAGACAGTGCAACTTCAACCAATCGACGACGTCCACCAATTTTATTATCCAGTTCAAAACTTTTATTAAATTTATGCAAAGCATTACGTCACTGTGCATGTGTTACAGAAAAATTAACATTTTTAGAATTGCAAAATCTCCCACTCAGTAAAACAGGTTTATTACAAATTTGTGAAGTAAGTAGTATCGTTAATTTTTCATTAAAAACAAAATTATTTACTATGATACATGTTTATTTTGTGTTAATATTCTGTGTATAAACATAAGTGATTTTGTTAGCCAGTGGTTTTCTTGTTAACTTTAATTCACTTTAAGGCTTCAGTCAGTAATTCGTCCTCGCGATCTACCACTAATCGAACACACATCATATTATTGACTTTATCAGTCGATCACCATTCCATTCATTGATTTCAACATTCGAAAGTTTCGTCTCATTATTATTAATTATTAATATTATTATTAATTTATGTAGAACATTTTTGCCTACTGAAAAATAATTAAGTAGCAAACTTTGAATGCGAATAAAATGGGTATGCTAGATACGAGCCGACAGTTCATCAAATAATACATACATTCAACTCCATAATATTTGTATGCGATGAATTTACCCAGTAAAATCACTTCTAGAGAAAAGAACAGACTGAAAAAAACAGAGGTTAATTTTTGATGACAGTATTTTGTAAATAGAAAGACGAAAAGACAACTACGTTACACTTCTCTTATTAGACTACAATGTCAGACTCAACCATTAGTATGATGAATGACAAAGTGTTCTGCTCAAGTAAAATATTTTCAGAAAATTAACCGTTTAAGTATATATTTTTCATCGTTAGTTGAAATCGAATAGAGAAACATCGGGAACATAGTAGTGTTGAACAATATTTCATCATATCCTAGGATTTTGTAAAACAGTTTACACCTCAGACTAAACACAAGCGAAGGAAATGAGTAAATACATCTGCACCATTACAGTAATTTATGACCTGTTTCAACAAAATCCTACAACTGTTGGTTATGATGATCATATAGGCTTTCAACAGGTAATCTGCACTTTGAAGCAGCACCTTTATAGAATATATATTCAACAATAAACAATACAAGTGATGATAAACTCTTTACTTTAAAGAGAATTCTTAATTAATAACAGTTTTTGAAGCTTATGAAATTCGTTTTTTTTCGGTGTAGGGTATTAGAAAAAATCGTACATTGAAACATTTGTCATTTGAAGGTTCTTCCATAAATGATGATGGTCTTGAAGGTAGGTTAAATGTTTAAACAAAACTATTGTTTAAATAGTCACTTTAGGATAGTTTTTGTTAAATATTAACAATGAATATTTTGTTTTAGTGAATTTATAAGATACATTCAAAATGCCATATGTGGTTAATGATGTAAGTCATTTCTAATTTTCAAAAAAAACTTGTCCGATAGGACTGTGATGTGGGTTATTTATATTCACATAAGTAGTATAAGACGGTGATCAGGGATAGAATGTATTTCAGTAGAAGATCAAGAAGGAAAGAATGGGAACGGAATGCAATTGGTATGAAAATGCATGAACAATGAAATCTGAAACAATGGATTGATATTTTGCACATTAACTATTTACTATATGGTTCTCAGATTTTATTGAGATACTCTGTAATTGCGTGTCTAGTGGATTCGATTATCCCCACTCGTGTTCTTGTTGATTACAATGCTCTAACTCAAGTAATTTATCAATAATATTATCATTCATTAAACAAATATTCAATGTAAAAGTATTTCCCTATGATCAATCGGCGAGACTCTACTTTATGGACGAGCCAATCAGAGGCGTTTTAGAGATTTCAAGGTTACGGCGCTAACGTACGATCAGTTCACATGGAATTTTGTACAAAACGTGATAATTGACCAGCTATAACAAATAAAACGGCGAGACTATAATTTGTGGATGAACCAATCGGGTATAAGATAACAGATCTCGGATTTTAACACGAAAGTCTTTCATCCATTTGGCTAAATAAATTTCCGGCATTATAGCTGATGTCAGTTCGTGATGAAAATCCCATATATAATTACGACAATTATTGCGAACTGGATAATAAAAGCACCCGTAACACTGGCTGCAGCCAGGTACTACAATATATACGGATGTTTGGAGAGCTCATGGACTCCTACATGGGCTTGGTTATGTGCATCGTGTCGTTGTCCGCAAGTAGCATTTTGTGCACTCAACAACTGGAGTGCACATAAACAATACTGAAGCTATGTGGTCGAGGCTGAAAAAGTTTTTGAGACTTTGTCATGGCTCCAGAAGCCGACTATTCTGTAGCCATATGAATGGTTCCCTCTACTGCATGCATTACGATTTTAGGACCTCTGAACCTCTTCCTAACCTTGACAAGTTTTTGAACCATGTATAAGAAGTGTATCCACTTTATTTCCTTGGTTTCGTATAACATATTTTTACTCTATACTGACTGTTTGCTGATTGGTTAATATTTCTCAAGGTTACTTAAGATTTGTTCAAAGGTCGTCCATAAGTTAGAGTCTCGCCAAGCAATCTCTTGTCCATCAGTTTCCTCTAACATTACACTGAGAAAGTTACCAAGCTATTAATTCAATAATTTAGCTGAATAACCAGGCTAAAAACATTTTACGAAAGGATTCTTTAATTTATATTAAATAATAAATTGATTATCCTCACCTGAGTCTTTGTTCATTACACAATAACTCTATAACATGAGAAGTTTGTGGAATCAATGGAATTGTATATGATATTTATGCTATATATATATATATATATATATAAATCATGTATTTATGATTGGAATCAGCTATGACCTGAGTGAAATTCAAGTGTTATATAACAGATTTTTATTTGACATTAATCAATTAATTAAGGGTGTTTTATTTCTCATTCAATCTATTCAAAGAAATTTGCCGAGTTTTACGTCATGTCCCAAATATTTCAACTCTCAATTTAACATCATGTAATTTGTCAAAGGATGGAATCTCTGCATTGACTGTACTTATCAATGTAAGTAAATAAATGTTCAGTAATTTTCAACAAAAAAATTTGGTTGAATAATTGATTAAATTGTTTTTAAACTATATATACTACTGTAAACTAATATGAGTAGTCTAAAAATATTCACATAATGTAACTGAGCTTTTTCCATGAATCATTTTCATTCATGTGTTTTAATGCATCCATGTATTGAAGAGTTTAAAGAATAGGTTGAGACGAAAACATTTTTGTGAGTAGGCCATTGAAAATTGATCATCAGATTAGATAATTTTTGATTTCTTTCATAAAATACAAATATTTGGAAAGATAATCAAAGTTTAACTTGTTACAGGGCATTACTATTTAAATAGTTGTAGTGTCGGTTACTATACTGAACCCACATAGCTTATTCTATATTCCGGACAGGCCAATTCTATTCATTCTTCTTGAGTCACACATTCTGAACTTTTTAATTATTCACTTATCAACCCTGACTGTTTTTATATTAATTTATGTGTGTGTACACTTCTTATTCTATTCATCGCATGTCTGTAACCTACTTTAATCTGGCTATAAATATTGATTAACGCTTGATTAAATGGAGTTGGCTCACACACACCTTTCCCACTGCGCGTCATTTCTCTTCACTCTCTTGTATTCGCTTTATCTCATTTCCTGTTCAGATCAGTTAGTGTACGAAATATACATATCCAAAAATCCACTCTTGTATTCCAATTATTTAATTCCGTTATTCACCTACGCGATTTAAGCTGTTGATTATATACGAAGATGACCGACATATATATTTCAATTACAATCCAATCTGGAGTCAGATAAAGGGTCACTAAACAGTTACCAGAAGATTATATTTATTAAATATACTGTCAGATACTATAACTAAACATGAATAGATGTTTTACTGATTGTACAGACAAATAGTTGCTTCCTATCTTAATGAACGCAGAATTCTATGTAGGTAATTATAAATATCGTTTGTATAGATAACGAAGAGTACATTGTCTTAGTAACTATTTATCTATATATATGTGTTTGAGCTTGGATACCTCTCAGACACTTAGGCCTAAACGGGTAACTTTCTTGTGGGGCTAATTTTCAAGTCTTTAGATTGGAATTCTAATCCGCAAAAGAATGAAACAACATCGATAGATTCAGTACCATGATCACTGTTAACGAACGTAGGTTCATACTTCTTTCACTTCTTTAGGATACTGAAGTCCATCAACACCAATTGTTTGAATTAAAAATTTTTAAACTCCTTATAATAGATGGAACGTCGGCATCCACAAATCCATATTAAACCTCATATATTCTCTTTCCGTTCTCTCATTTTCGTAAAAACACACCAAGCCATTTTGATGATAGTCAGCTAAACTTTTTGACAGATACTATCTATTAGTGTCTGTATAAGAAATTTCCAGAGGCAGGACAACATCTCCTCAATCTTGGTTGTAACATAGCATTTGTGTGCAACATTCGAACAATGAATTAACAACTACTCAATTTTTTTATATAATTTCAAATACTTCTACATTTGATACCAATCTACTGTGATTGACTCTTTTTAAATCTGTTTATCTACTCTATTATATCACTCACTTGACATGAATTGTTTATCCGCCATTGTCGTTGTGTTACCGAAATGTGATTATTTAAAACAGAAACAAGACTTTAGTTGTTAGGAACTACACTACTCATAGATTTATTCAAATATGAAATAAGTAATATAGAAGTTACACTTGCTAAAATAAAATACTGACTGCTTATAACAAATATCGAATGCTGTATATGTAATTTCAGATGATTGAGCAATATTTCTAACCGATAATGCATATCTGTTCGTACAGAAAGTTAAATCAAATCATGATTAATAGTATGCACTTGTCAGCATTTCTCACTTCTTACTAAGCCTATGTTTGATTGACCCAATGTATTAGAACATCTATTTTCTCAGGAATGAACTGATGACAAGTATTTTATTTTATTTATTTATTTAAATACATAAATATTGGTACAAAGAGGCATCAAATAGATATGCGCCACATAAATGATTCGATTTGTGTGAGGACTAGGATACTACCCGGGTGCCTAAACCGAAGCAGGTGGTTTTCTCAGGGAGTCACACCCGGAGACTTCGACCTAAAGGTCTGATCCACAATGCAGTCAATCAACCTCAGGAGATGCAGTCCCATATTAGCCAGTAACTAACAATAGGTTCATACTCTATTTGTTCCTTCAGGATACTGGAGCCCATGTGCACCATTGGTTTGGAATGAGGGTTTTCCAACCCCCCTAGGCGGACTCTTCGTTTTCACCAACCCGGTTAAAGCGCATAACATTCGCTTTTCGTCTTCTCAATTTCGTAAATAACAGTAATACTGCGAGAAGACAGTGAGTAGGACAAGTATTAGCTAACACGAAAGATAGGTTCAAATATTCCTACCCACCTTTTCTTTTCCATAAACATTAAAATTGATCATCTTTACATCAATTCATTTTAATGAATGATCATATTAAATTTCATTTCACAGAATCTATTAAGTAACATCAAAAAAGTGAAACTGGAGAGACTATAATTTATGAACAACCTGTGAACGAATCTTTAGTGATCTTCAGAAATATTATTAGCCAATCAGGAAATAGTTAGAATAGAGTACAAATATATTATAGAACACCAAAGAAATAAAGTGGATACACTTCTTATACATGGTTCAAAAACTTGTCAAGGTTAGGAAGAGGTTCAGAGGTTCTAAAATCGTAATGCATGCAGTAGAGAAAATCATCCATGATAAGGTCGCAAAAACTCTTTCAGTCTCGACCACATAGCTTCAATACTGTTTGTGTGTACTCCAGTTGTTGGGTCCACAAAATGCCGCTTATGGATAACGACACTATGCACATAAACAAGTAAATATACGCATCTGTACATTCTCCAATCATCTGTATATATTGTAGTACCCGGCTGTAGCCAGTGTTACTGGTGCTTTTTTATCCAGTCATAGTTTCCCATAGTCTCAATCTGGACCGAGCAAAAAAGTCCTATTCTAGCAGACTTGTTCCTCCAACACATATCATATCGAAAGACAACATCATTATGGTACTCTCCACAAGGTCTACAAGTCATTTGATTACCAAAATCACAAATAAAGGAACTTTTTAGTAGTCCCATTTGTTGTAGCCGCTCATTCATCATGTTTTCTCTAAAATCCACTGTTAACCGATCGTACGTGAGCATGAGGTACTGAAATTGGCGTCGCGACCTTGAACCCCCCAAACGCTTCTGATTGGCTCGTTAATAAATTATAGTCTCTCTGTGAATATATTATATAATAGTTACTACTTAGTATCCTGTTTATTTGTTTTCTCTCGATTTTTCCAAGTGTCTATTGTCAGAAAATTTTCCAGGTACCCATTGATTTATGAAAATTTTAATAATCCAATTTCAGTATTTTATAATTTAGTAATTTTTAATCAATAGTTACTATCAGTCATCAAGTACAAACTCTTCCTTGTTGTATAATAAGGCTTCGTAAGTATCATTAGCAAGATTCAACCTGATAATGTTAAACAAACTAAGTATTAGACAGATTCTAGATAATAATAACGTTGGACATGCAATTTTCTATTCGTTACAATACTACAAACATATTATTAGTTAATTATGTAATAATAATGCCTTCTAAGTTAATTTCGTTAAAAAAAGCAGTTTTAATCGAAGATGTCTTCAACCCATCATTTATACTGAATAGTACTGATTAGAATTGACAAATTGGTTGATGATGGATAGTGTCTAGCATTAGAATCTGAAAAGCTCTTTTCGTCCTATTTGAGACTCGTCAGCTGGATGTATTTGCATCTCAGTAGGTGTTCACTCTGGGACTCAAACCCTATACCGTTCGCTTCAAACGCCATCGCGTTATCCATCTAGCTATCCATCTTTGCTAATAATGATTGTGAATTAAGGCAATATCGAGGCAATACACACAGTATGCACATATACCAATAAGAGACTGATCAATCGCATTCCTAAACATCTATGGGAAGATTCAAGTAAACAATACCGAGTGAATTTTATTTCATCAACTTAATTGTGCTTTAAACATGTGTTATATGTATCGAACCACTAGTTCGTTTGATACACTATAGTGATTATTATAGATATATAATGAGAAAACGGTTAAGCAGCAGCCAGATCAGGAGATATTCTCAGTTCATGATATCATTGACCACTATTTTGAACTATAATATAGAGATGTTATAGACACCTTAGTTGTACTTTTTGACTGAAGTATAGTATCGGAGATAATAAATGATATGAATGGAAATCTGTCCTAGCGCCTCAGTCGTATTCATCTTTCATCTTCTACACCTCTCCTGCAGTTTTTATTCTATTCATTTGTCCTGTATCACATTTTTAGTGTCTAGTTTTTAGTAACACTGGCTTTTATTGGTTATAGGCGATATTCGTCACGAATTGAACCCATTAATAGTACTATCTGAATCTCGGAAGCACTAGACTGTTATTTCAGTTTAATGTGAGACTCCCCAGTAATACGCATCTACAACCGGACAATGGATCTAGGCGAGGACAGTCAGATTTCATGATAATTGCTCGACTGTTAGATACACTAGGTCAATGATATCGCAAACGTAATCAATCAGTGATGAATATTGCCTCCAGCTTGACTCCATCTTGCCGTTATAGTATTATTACATAACTCGAACTGACATACATTCCTATCAAGTTGTAATTTGTCAATAAATTACGATAGCCCGATGGTCAAGAAACGTAGCTAAAAGTTAGCAGAACTTATAACTTTTATAGTATACGGTTGTGTAGATTGTTGAGTTTTAATTGAGATCATGAACTGACCAATGTTAGACCACCATTGAAAACCTGGAAGCAGTAAACGGCCGTTTTGCCCGAGTATGGGACTACCCAACAGTGCGCATCCACGATCCTGTACGCTGATTTCGAAACTAGAACCTTTGATCTCGCGCGCGAACGCTTAACCTCTAGACCA